TGTAGGCTAAAAGAGCATCAAAATAATATTCGAAAAAAAATATTTTCAGAGACAAAACAATGTGCAGAAGGAAATGTTCATTCTTTGTTTATAAGTGAAAAACTATCCATCATCTAAACACCCATCAAAAGCAGGCAAGAATGTATTACAGCACCTCCATGCTGTAATATACCATGCAAATGTTAAAATCAATTTGGTAGATATAAACATTGGTATCAATGATCTTCAAGGCATTCTCTTACATGAAAAAAAAAAAAAAATCAAGTCCCCAACTAGTATATATGTATTCCAGACATATCTTTATAGATTAAAGACCAAAAATCTTTATAGATTTAAGATTTTTTTTTGATTTATTTATTTTTGAGAGAGACAGAAAAAGACTGCGAGTGGGAGAGGGTAGACAGAGAGGGAAAAGCTCTGAAGTGGGCTCTGAGCTGACAGCAGCAGGCCGGATGCAGGGCTCAAACTCACAAACCATGAAATCATGACCTGAGCTGAGTCGGATGCTTAACTGACTGAGCCACCCAGGCGCCCCTAAAAAATCTTACCATATACACATACGTATACATATAGAAATGTGTATAAATATATTCTACCACATGTCAATTATACAGAGATTAGTCAGAGACCCAAACTATTAACATCTGTTACTCCTTGGTTTGGGGGTTGGGCAGGAAAAGGTAAAAGGGGATATTCTCTTTTAGTGCAAATACTTCTTTTTGCTTGACTTTTTCACATTTAAATATAGCCATGCACCATTAAGTATTTAAAAATACAAAGGCCAGGGGCACCTGTTCATGAGTTCGAGCCCCGTGTCGGGTTCTTTGCTGACACCTCAGAGCCTGGAGGCTGCTTCAGATTCTAAGTCTCCCTCTCTCTCTCAGCTCCTCCCCTACTCGTGCTCTGTCTGTCTCTCTCTCTCTCAAAAATAAATAAACATTAAAAAAAATTAAAATAAATAAAATAAAAATACAAAGGCCAAACTAAGAATAGTTGACTCTGACTTCTTTTTCTGAACCTGTGGTTAAGAAGGTATAGGGGCGCCTGGGTGGCTCAGTTGCTTAAGTGTCCGATTTCGGCTCAGGTCATGATCTCACAGTCTGTGGGTTCGAGCCCCACATCGGGCTCTGTGCTGACAGCTCAGAGCCTGGAGCCTGCTTTGGATTCTGTGTCTCCCTAGCTCTCTGCTCCTCCCCTACTCTCTCTCTCTTTCTCTCTCTCAAAATTAAATAAACATTAAAAAATTTAAAAAGTTAAAAAAGAAGGTATAAAGGAGGGGCCGTGCTGTCAGCACAAAGCCCACTTTGGATCCTGTCTCCCCTTCTCTCTCTGCTCCTCTCACACGTAACATGCGTGCAGGTGCATCCTCTCTCTCTTTTTCTCTCCCTAGAAAACAAACAAACAAAAAGGTGTACAGGGAGCATTGTCACTATCTGTATTCCAAGCTGTTATCAAAGAATGGAACTTTTAGCTGTCTTCCGCCAAATGGCAGAATTCTTCGTGGAGAATGGCTCAAAGGTCAAGCAGCCCATTCATTCTATTAAATAATCCAGGCTTTATTCCTGGGTAAAGCGTGGACTGCTGGAAGGTTCTACTGTCAAGGTGCGCTGCTTTTGAAGAATTCTGTCCAATCCAGTTCTGCTCTGGCATTACCCCCTGAGCTTACGCTGAGGAACACGATGAGAAAAAGCCAAAGGAAGCATCCTATGCCTTTATTACATGGTTGATATCTAGGACACTCACAAAATCTCTCTGGAGAGCTAGGAAAGAAATTTCTTAGACTCTCTGAGCAATGAGATTACTTTCCCTGAAGAAATGGTTTGCTTTCTCCTCACGGACACTGCAAATCATGTAATATTTCGTGTTTTTCTTAGTACCACAGCTGCCAAGAGGAGGAGACACAAATTCAAAGCTAAGGCAGCCCACAAGGCCTTATACAGCCATTTAGCTCCTATCCTTAAGGACTTTGTATGGACCCTAGGACCTATATATATCCCTTGCTTCCTAATTTACCCAGATTTGAAGATTATAACCCAAACTTATTTTCCAACAGATCCTGACTTTTATCAACATATACTGTCTCATTTTATCAGACTGTCTGTTAGAAGCTTCCACAAATCCACTGGGAAACAAAGGACAGAAAGGTACAACAAACCTCACCTGGGCCTTGGTCATTTTCTCCTGTTCTTAAAAAGGGCTAGAAACTCCAGGATATGCTCTGTGTTCTGTCTGCTCTGGGCCTGCCCAGAAGATACGGTCAAGGTATCTCAGGTCAGGCTGCTGCCAGAAATGATGATCTCCCAGGCCTGGAACCTCCTCCTTCTTCTAGGACCAATAATGCCTTGTTCCCCTGGACTAGAACCTGTGGATTCAAGAGCAAATTCAATGGCAAGAGGACATTTACCTGGGACCACAGCTCTCTACGGCTGTGTGGATTCTAACAACAGGCCCCAACATTTCCTCTGTCTCTTTAACACCCAGGAAGCTTTTACATCATGAGGCCAGGCTCCATGGGGAGATACGGAATGGGTGAGAGGAATGCCTTTTTTTTGGGGGGGGGGCAAAGGTGGACAAGAACGGATATGAAAGAAATGGGAGAAGAACACGGCTCATGGTCTTGCCTGCTGTCAATTTCTCACACAGATCAATTTTAGGAAAGATAATGTATATAAGTGGTGGCTTTGGAAACTGCCTTAAACCCACCTGTGCCTACACATCCCTAAAATTTTTGTTTATTGCACTGGAGCAATTATCCCATTTGAAGACCAAGGTACTATACAAATCATGACCATCGTCTTATTTAATCCTCAGTACTACTCTATAAGGTAAGCATTATCTCCATTTTTTTTT